CTTGGATGGTTTCTCCTTCCTTTATGGTGAAATTCTCATATTGAGAATATAACAGTGTTCCTCTTGATCTCTTTACATGAGGAGTTCCTTCATGGGCCACTTGTAGAGTGTCCCAGATCTCCTTAGCAGTGGTATAACTTTGAATCCTACTCTACTCGTCTGGACCTAGACCACACACAAGCCATTTCTTGGCCTTGGCATTCTTTACCCATTTCTTCAAATCTTCAGCAGTACAGTCAGCTCTTGTCTTTGGCACGTCCACTCCTTCAGCATTCTTCTTTGTAGTAGCCAGGGGACCATCAGTAACTATGTCCCAGAGTTCATATTCTTCTCCTATGATGTGGTCTCTCATCCTATTCTTCCACCAGGAATAGTATTGGCCATTAAAGAGTGGAGGCCTAGCAGTGGATTGCCCTTCCCAGTTTCCAGGTGGTGCACTCATCTTGATCTGTTCCTAAGGAGTTAGCCTCTTCAAGGATAACCCGCTCTGATACCAATTGATGTTTTATACTTCAATACCACACAAGAGGGGGGAGGTGATTTGTGTGCTACCCAATTTTTGCTTAACTTGATTATAGAAAGACCTGGTTCTTCGATGTGTTCCAACTACTACTGTTGCGGAATAATAAGTACAAAAAATAAAGAACACAGAGATTTTACGTGGAAAACGCCTGGCTCAAACGGTGGCAAAACCACGACCTACCTTCCAGTAGGATTTTCCCAAACTCTCCACTAAAATTACTGAGCCAAAAACTGCATTTACAAAAACTCTTTTGTAAACCTAGGCTTAACTCTTATCCCATTGTGGCACACAGCCTCAACTGTTGCGACAACTTCAAGTTAACTCTAACTTGAAAATTCTAAGTACCTAATACAATTGCTTCTAAAAAAGCTGAAAGGTACAATGTAAAATCACCTACTATAATTGAGCTAGAATAAAAGATAGACACTTGGAACTGGTTCTTCTATCTGGTTCAAGTAGCTTCAGGATTGCACGCTTGAATCACACATAAATTGCTTGCAAAATTGCCTTGCTATTTTGCTCTCAATTCACGTTTAACTTCTGCTTATATGTATTTCCTGTAAAAGAGAACAACACTAATATTTAAGGAGTTAGCAATTAGAGATTGACTAGGATACAGACGCTACTCTTCCATGGTGGAAGAGTTCTAGTTGATCTCATACTCTAACTCTATCCTTTTCCTAAACCGTGTTCTCTTTGTATAAGGAGTCTTTCTCCTTATCCAATATGCAATCTTTTCGATCATGATCAGGAGATATTATTTCTGATAAGTTAGGTTTATCTCCTTCACGTGCATCTCACATGTTTGGGTTTGATCACAACTGTGCTTCACAAGATGGACCTGGTCCATGTCTGAGTTCCTTTGTCAGTCTTCAAAACTTCACCTTTACTTGGGCCAACAACAAGTAATACATAATTCATAGAAGGTAAGCTCTTAACATTTTCACAGAATACAACTACCTAAATACGTAGTTATTGAAACAAATGAGGATACTTCTTCTTCATCTCTTCCTCAACCTCCAAGGTGGCCTCTTCAACCTGTTGGTTTCGCCATAGCACTTTTACTGAGGCAATCTCTTTATCTTTTAGCTTTCATACTTGCCTATCGAGAATGGCAACTAGAATCTCCTCATAAGTCAATTCTTTATTAACCTCAATAGTCTCAACCGGAACAATGGGTATCGGGTCTCCAACTAGCTTCTTCAACATAGACACATGAAATACCAGGTGCGCCAATGACATCTCAGGTGGTAGCTCAAGCTTGTACGCCACCTGACCAATCCTCTAAATGATTCAATACAGTCCGACATACCTCGGACTCAATTTCCCTTTCTTACCAAACCGCATTATACCCTTCATGGGAGAAACCTTCAAGAATACCCAATCATCCTTTTTGAACTCCAAATCCCTACAGCGAACATCCGAATAGGACTTCTGACGACTCTGAGCAGTTTTCAACCGACCCTTAATGACCTTAAACTTCTCCATAGCTTGATGCACGAGGTCTTTTCCTATCAACTCTACTTCCCCAATCTCAAACCACCTAATGGGAGATCTACATTTTCTACCACATGGAGCCTCGAACGGTACCATATGATTACTAGCATGATAACTGTTGTTGTAGGCAAATTCTATGAGTGGCAAACGATCATCTCAGCTACCCTTGAAGTCAAGAACACAAGCGCGCAACATATACTCAAGCGTATGAATCGTCCACTCTGCTTGCACGTCAATTTGCTAGTGAAATATTGTACTAAGATTCACCTGAGTACCCAAACCTTGCTGAAATTTCTTCCAAAAATTAGCCGTGAATTGTGCCCCTCGATCTGAGATAATAGAAACTGGAGTGCAATGCAACCTGACTATTTCCTTAATATACAACTGAGCATACTGTTCTGCTGTGTCGGTAGCCTTAACAGGTAAGAGGTGAGCTGATTTCGTGAGTCGATCCACAATCACCCAAATTGAGTCATACTTACGAGAGGTGCGAGGTAGCCCCACCACAAAGTCCATATTGATCATCTCCCACTTCCACATTGGAATTTCTATGTTCTATGCCAACCCACCGGGCTGTTGGTGTTCGGCTTTTACTTGCTAACAATTTGGACATCTCGCCACAAAGTCCGCTATATTGCTCTTCATATCATTCTACCATTAGACTTCCTTAAGATCATGATACATCTTTGTAGACCCCGGGTGCACGAAATACCTAGAAGTGTGAGCCTCGGTCATGATTCTTTCCCGGAGACCATCTACATTTGGAACACATAGTCTCCCTTGGTACCTTAGTGTACCATCATCCATGCCGAGAGAAAAAGTCGTGGTTTTATATTTATGAATCCCCTCTTTCGATTGTACCAACAATGGATCGTTGTATTGCTTCTCCTTGACCTCCACCACAAGCGATGATTCAACCTTATTTTGCACAATCAACCCTTCTTTACTAGAGTCCGCAAGACGAACTCCTAAGCTAGCCGACCGATGAACCTCCTTGGACAACGGCCTTTGATATGCCTCCAAGTGAGCCAAATTGCCCATAGATTTCCGGCTAAGAGCATCCGCCACAACTTAGCCTTCCCGGATGATATAGAATATTGATTTCGTAATCCTTGAGTAACTCAAGCCATCTTCTCTGCCTCAGATTCAATTCCTTCTGTTTGATAATATATTGAAGGCTCTAATGGTCCGTGAATATATCTATATGGACCCCATACAAATAATGACGCCAAATATTCAATTCAAATACCACCGCCGCGAGCTCTAAGTCATGTGTTGGAAAGTTCTTTTCATGATTCTTGAGTTGCCTAGAAGCATAAGATATCACCTTGCCATGTTGCATTAATAAACACCCAAGTCCGATCCTTGAAGCATCACAATACACCACAAACCCATATGTACCCTCCGGTAGGGTCAACATCGGCGCCGTAGTCAATCTCCATTTTGTAACTCTTGGAAGCTCCTTTCACAAGCATCTAACCATTAGAACATAACCGAGGTAAGAGTAGAGAACCCCTCTACAAATTTCCTGTAATACCCCGCTAAGCCTAAGAAATTGTGAATCTCTATTGGAGTTGTAGGTCTAGGCTAATTCTTCACAGCTGCAATCTTTTGAGGATCAACCTTCATTCCTTTTCTAGAGACGACATGACCTAAGAATGTGACAGATTCAAGCCAAAATTCACATTTCAAAAACTTCACATACAACTAGTGCTGACATAGAGTCTGTAGAAATGCCCTGAGATGATCGGCATGGTCCACTCAATTTCGTGAATATACAAGGAGATCGTCAATAAAAACTATCACAATGGAGTCAAGAAAAGGCTTGAAGACTAGATTCATAAGATCCATGAAAGCTGTCAGGGCATTTGTTAGCCCAAAAGATATTACCATGAATTCAAAGTGCCCATACCGGGTCCTGAAAGTTGTTTTCGGAATATCCTGCTCTCTAATCTTCAATTGGTTATACTCGGATCTTAAATCAATCTTGGAGAAGTACTTAGCACCCTGCAACTGGTCAAACAAGTTATCTATCCTTGGTAGTGGGTACTTATTTTTTATTGTGACCTTGTTGAGCTGCCGATAGTCAATACATATCCTTAGTGACCCATCTTTCTTTCTTACATAGAGAACTGATGCGCCCCAAGGCGACACACTCGGCTAGATGAAACCTTTCTCTAACAAATCCTTAAATTATTCCTTTAGCTCATTCAAATATGTCGGTGTCATTCTGTAGGGTGGAATAGATATAGGCTGCATGCCCGGCATCACATCAATCCCAAAATCAATCTCCCTGTCTGGTGGAATCCCAAGGAGCTCATCACGAAAGACCTCCAGAAATTCATTCAGTACTAGCACGGACTCAAGTGTAGGTGCCTCAGCATCGGTGTTCGTAACCAGACCAAATGGTAAATACACCCCTTGTTGATCATCTTTATGGCCTTAAGGTAAGAAATAAACCTACCCTTCGGCACCACATCATCCCCCTTCCATTCAATCACTGACTCATTTCGAAATTTAAGCCTAACGGTTCTGGTTAGATAATCAAGCTTGGCAAAACATGAATAAGGCCAGTCCATCCCCATTATTACATCAAAATCAACCATCCCCAATTCAATGAGATCGACCATGGTGTCTCGACCATGCACCGTGACAACAAAATCCCTATAAACCCGCACGACCACAATAGACTCACCAACCGAAGTAGATACAGAGAACGACTCTTGAAGTTGTTCCGGTTCTATCCCAAATTCCATAGCAACATAAGGAGTGACACAAGACAAAGTGGAACCTGGATCAATAAGAGCATATACATCATGAGACTAAATAGTCAATATACCATTGACAACATCTGGAGAAGCCTCTACACTCTGGCGACCATTCATAGCATAGAAATGGTTGGGTCCTTCCGAACTCTATGCACCACCCCTAGCTTCACCACGCCCTGGGAGTGCTGGAGTACCCCGAGCTGGAGGAGGTATTACGGATGTAGTAGCTGTAGAACTGGCTGGCTGTGTCGTGCCCCTGCCGTACCCTGGCGGGACGGACGACAATCTCTCTGAATGTGACCCCTCAATCCACACCCGTAGCATATGGGTAGGTTCATGTAGCAAACTCCCAAGTGCATCTTCCCGCACCTAGGGCATGGGGGCCTCTTCTGCTGCTGGAACCTCTCACCAGGCCGGCCTAGTTGGTAGGATCCCGCGTTGCCCTGACCGGGCCTAAAATGACTCCACTGCTGCTGACTGGGCCCTGATAGCGTTGCGCTGACTAAAGACTGAGAAAAAGACTGGGATGGCCCTGATGACCCTCCCCTAAATGCTGACCTACCACCATCACCACCAAAAGAACCACCAAAGTTTCCTGCAGACCGAGCCTTGCTGCTACCCTCTCGCTCCATTCTATTCTTCAATTTAAGGTTCTATGTAGCTTGAGCAAATGCCACGATCTTCCCATAGTTCGTATCAAAATTCAAGGCAGATGTAGCGGCCTCATTAATAACTAAGGGCTAAGGCCCTGCACAAACTGACGCATTCTCGGCTCCATAGTGGGCAACATGTATGTGGCATACTTGGACAGGCGCGCAAACCTCATATTATACTCCCACACACTCATGCTACCTTGTTTCAGACTCTCAAAATTGGCACACGGGCTACCTTAGTCTCGGTAGGCAAGAAATGATCAATGAAAGCATCGGCAAACTCACTCCACCTTGCCAGAGGGCTCCCCTCCTCGCAGTAGTCCTCCCACAGCTCAAACCAAGAATATGCCACCTCTTTTAGGCGGTAGGAGGCCAACTCCACTCCCTCCATCTCAGTAGCACGCATAACTCGAAGAGTCTTGTGCATCTCATCAGTGAAGTCCTGGGGTTCCTCCTCGGGATTAGTACCTGTGAATACTGGAGGATATAACTGAAGAACCTTGTTCACCCTGGAACTAGCAGATTCCCCTAGCTGACTAGAAGAAGTGTGTGCAACATTTGATCTTTGGGACTGAGAAGCCATTATCTGAGCCAACATCTGTATGGCTCCCCTAAGGTCCCCATCTGAAACACCGGGACCAGAAGCTGGGGCTGGAGGTGGAACTGAAATATCAACTGGAGGAATCGTTGCACCCTCAGTAGGTGTAGGGACAGGTGCAGTCTGATCAGGAGTAGTGGAATCTGGCAGTGTAGTAGTCGGCGGAATATCCCCACTCCTCGGGTGCTTACCCGCATCATCAAGTAAAGAATCAACTACCACTCCTGGGGTGGCATTGGCTCCTTGGCTAGTTCTTGCTTTCTCCCTAGGCGCCATGTATTGAAAATTAGAGCAATGCACGAGTTAGGGGAGGAACAGTCTTACAATCAGCTCTATCGCACGATCTAGATCATCAAAGAATGGTATTATTCCTAAATGCCCAAGTAGCCTCCTAATTATGTGGTTGACAACGCACCGATAAGAAGGACTCTACATGACACTGTCACACCTCCTTTTTCGTTAATACACCCCGTAAAGGGTATAATAAAAGGAGTTTTTCCAATTAAAGGATAATCGAAACAGGATTCGTTTATTAAGGGATTCAGAGTCGCCACTTGGGAGATTTATGGTGTCCCAAGTCACCAGTTTGAATCCCGAATCGAGGAAAGGGTTTGACTCTGTATTAACAGTCGCGAACCAGAAATTCGGGTAAGGAATTCTGTTAACCCGGGAGAAGGGGTTAGGCACTCCCGAGTTACGTGGTTCTAGCACGGTCGCTCAACTGCTATATTTGGCTAAAGTCTGATTTTAATACATGTCATCCTATGGTGCAATTTTAAAAATTTGTTTAACCGCTTTTAATTAGTTTTTTATGAAAGTGAACGCCGTTTAAGAGCGTGTTTTTAGATCACGTCACATGAAATGCACCCGGATCCTTGACACCTCTTATTCAACATTTTGGGATTTGGATTTGGGTCGCATGAAATGCACACCCGTATTTAAGAAGGTAAATTATTAAAAGCGCGCCTAAAGTGGCTAGCGTCTTATTAACTTTGCGGAAGCCATGAAAATTCGCTAAACGGCATGTCCTAAATTTCTAAAATATTTTTAATAAAGCATTTAATGAGGGCCCCGCACTTTATGGATTTTTTGGCGAGGCTCGTCTCATTTTTATTCATGAAAGGGCAATCCTAAAGCAACTATAGTTTTCTATTTTTATTTGTCTCTAATAACACAAGAAAAATCCTAAATAATTTGTTATCGAACTAAGGTAAACCGAAGGATAATTCTGTACCAAAGCCACCCATTGGGCCTTGGCCCAAGTCCAAACGTGAAGGAAGTTAACACTGGACCTAGGCCTGCATATCAGATATCTTGAGGCCTAAACGTCCTGGGCCCGCGTATCAGATATAACAGACTCTAAGAATACTCAAGAGCAGGTTAACTAATTCAGATCAGTCCAGCTGATGATGCATGATTTAACTCAAGTAGACTACTGATTTGAGCCATTATCCTAAAATTATTAACACCTACATATTAACAAAGATACGAATTACTGTAGCATAACACATGTTCAGCTTGAAATCAAACTAGTTTTCACAATCAAATGCAAATTCAACTATATTTGATTTTTCTTTTGTTGAAATCGAAATAACTCTTAACTAAACAGGTATCACACAAACTCAACCAAATTAAGCTGCTAACTACAGATTTCTCATACTTCCAGGAATACATCTAATTAGTTTAACAGTCCACTATTTAACAGTCCCAAGTTATTACAGATTCATTATAATGAGCAAACTATTAAATCACAAAATTCTATCTCAACGTGAGAGAGCTACTAAGATTGCAAATCCATAGCAGAGGTTCAGCCTCAATTTCATTTCAAAAGCCCGGAGTGTACAAATGTGTACCTGGAGATTGCAATACAAGGAGAAAATGAAGATCAGCAGGAGCAAACAACAGACACAGCAGCAGGAATCAGTAATAACCACGAGTATAGAGATCGAATGCAGTCCAAAAAATTTCAGTAGCCCAGAAAGGTTTTAGCAAACCAAACTCAAACAGCAAATCTACCAAAACAGCACTTAAATGACCCAAAAGTGAACCCAGCACCACTTAAAACCTTCAGCAACCCAGAACTTCACCAAAACCAGTTTCAATAGACCAAAACTGCTCCAAATTAAGTCGTGTACTTCAGAGAAAACTTCACCAATCAAGTATTGGACTAGAAGATGAGAATCACTAATTAAAAGTCGAAATTAGCCTAAAATTTCTAATGAAACAGCCCTTTTTGGATTTTTGAAGGTTTTCTATTGTTTTTGTTTTTTTGAATTTTGAATGTCAGTTTTCAGATCTGAAAAATTGGAGAACCCGTTTGGGGGGGATTTTCAGAGGCTCCCAAACTTGTCAATGAAGGCAAAGGGCATGCCATTTTATAGGCACAAATAAGGGCCAGCCTCAGATTTTCTATTTTCCTTTTAGTCCCTCTTTTTAAATTTCAATTTTACCCACATAGTCCCTTAGTTATTGGCTTGTTACTCAAGTCAGAACAATATGACTTTGAAATATCAATTACCACCCCTTCTAGGTGTTTCTAGCAGCTTCTACATTCAGTTACTATCAGATTCCTCCAGTGAATTACCCTTACTGCCCTCACCTTAGCCCTGGAATTACCAAATTGATCTAACCACACTCCCACCCCTTTATACCCTAATTAAAACTATCAACTACTGCCCAATTTGTCTAATTATAACAACTAATTGAATCTGAGCACTGAACTAAAGTAATATTAACAACAACTACTGATTAATCTAACTAAACTAATCCGAACCCACTACAACCAGTTAATATCAACCAAAAGAAGTACTAAAACCACTACCAAATTCTGGATTACCACTACCATTATCTATGAACGATATCAAAACAGAATCAATTATAAAAAGACTCCAACACTGATAAACAAATGATAGAACCAAGCGTAGGCAGAAATTTTAATCATATTATTAAACTAATCAAACTACAGCTCAAATGACATTCACACAATTCCAGTTTAAAACTCAAATCAACTTTGAACCACTAGACCCCTAATTGAAAACTAACACCATAAGTCATCACTTAAACAGAAAAATCAAAAACGAACAAACTTAATACTAGAACATGCTATCAGTAGGAACCAATAACAATTAAACACCTAAAAACTAAGAGAAACAGGCACATAATAATCAGGCACGGCTTAATGAACATGAAGGCAACACAAAGTCAAGAGAAACAGACTAGATGAGACAGAAGAAGATTGGACTCAACTGGTTTGAACCCGATATGAAGTGAGCTAAATGAAACAATTAAGAAGACTCACCAGTCATTTTTCAAATTTTTAAGATTCGGATGATTCCAATGAAATTTGAGCGTTATTGACAGTGGATTATTCATGAGGAGAGTGAGGAGGCCCTGTGGCATCGATTTGATAAATTTTGAGAAACTAGGGTTTTGGTCCGAAATCTTCAAACTAATACTCGAGCAATTATGAGCAGATTCGAGGGAAACTGGTTGAGGGCTTAGGAAGAGGGAGGTGAGAGGAATGTATGGTGTAAATTTGAGGCGGTTTGGAGAGCTTTGGGTTTTGGCCGGAAAACTTAGATTCAATATTCGACAATTTAGGTGGGATTCGAGGGAAATTAGTCATGGATTTGGAAAGAGGGGAAGGAAAGGAGCAAAGAGTGTTATTTTGGTGGTGTTTGGGGACTGACCGCCGCCGTGAGACGATTCCCGACGGCGGCGCGAGGCGGCGTTACAGGGTCTGGTCTTAGGTGCGTTGAGAGAGACGATACGGGGGGGGGGGGGGTGACACGGTTCGGACAGTTAAGTATTCAAGAGGACCCACTTCCCAGCCGTTGGATCAAAAATCCTAGACGCTGAGATTCAATCGGTCAAAAACGACCCCGTTTTGCTTTAAAAAGGGCAGGCCGGGTTTTGGCATTTGGGCTGGGAAAATGGGTGTGTTCTGATCCGATTTTGGGGTCTCTCTGGGCTGAAACATCCATGGCCCAATTTCGAACCTTTTAATTCTTATAAATGTTTTCTTTGTTTTCTTTTCTTTATTCCTTTTTATTTTGTATTTATTTATTCATTATTTATATTTTCCTGATTTTTATTAGATGCCAAATCAAACAAATAAAAACCCAAATTGATTTCTAGAATTATGTTACTCAATTTCCAACTATACTAATTCCTAATTTAAATGCAAAACTAAGACAAATTACAAGTATAAATGCAAAAGAACTTTTTGTTGTTTCTTCTTTATGAGGTAACTCAATTAATCCTAAAAATATGAAAATAAATCCTAAATGCAACTGTCAAGTGTTATTTTTTTTTATGTATTTTCATATGAATTAACTGCACAAATAAAATGCAAACAATTAACGGAAAAATAACAAAAATC